GGGAGACACAGAATCCAAACCAGGCTCTGTGCTCCCAACTGTCAGCACAGAGCCCAGGGCGGGGCTCAAATCCAGGAACCCAGAGCTCATGACCTGAGCAGAAGTTGGAAGACTGAGCCACCCAGGCGCCCCAAGAGGAAGACATTTTAAAGCATGAGTGAAGATACCATCAAAGGAAAGCCTGACAAAGTAAATATCAGAAATTTCTGTATGACCGAAAAAATGTATTAAAATTAAAAGGCAACTGACAAACATTTTGGGAAAGATAAATGCAATGCATATCACAAAGATTTATTTGTTACATATGCAAATGTTCTTACATATAATTTTAAAAGATAAATTACCCCAAAGGAAAATGGGTGAAAGTCCCTAGAAAAGGCAATCCAAACGTTCCTGTACACATGCAAAAATGTGTAACCTTACTGAAAATCAGAAAAATGTTAATTGAAATACAATGAAATACCATTTTCACCATTTTGTTCTTGGCATACAATGTTTTCTGATGTTTAGCTCAATAGGGAAATAATTTAAGGACTGGAATGTAGTGTAGATTATGTATCACAAATCTACAAATGCCATTTAGTTAACACACTATGTTTTCTTAAAAAATATTTGGCCTTCCATCTATAATATGACCAGGGTAGATGCAGGGTAATTGGTAGACACTGATTTTTAGGGTGAAAACTGAGTCCATATGTTGCAAATGCAGAATTGCGTGTGTGTGTGATTTTATTTTATTTATTTATTTTTTAAATGTTTATTTAGTTTTGAGAGACAGAGCGTGAGCAGGGGAAGGGCAGAGAGTGAAGGAGACACAGAATCTGAAACAGGCTCCAGGCTCTGAGCTGTCAGCACAGAGCCCTACACGAGGCTCCAACTCACGAATGGTGAGATCATGACCTGAGCCGAAGTCGGCCGCTTAACCAACTGAGCCACCCAGGCTCCCTTGTTGTGTGATTTTAGCAGTGATTTTCTTCTTATGCTCATATTAGGCTTCAAAGTATGAATTCTTGGAGTCCAAAGTATACATATCAGTATGTATTCTTTTTCTAAGACTTGGGATAATAAACAAGGTGGTTTGAATGCACAGGTAGAGGGAGGGCACAAAAATGAGATGGAAAATGGAGATAGAGGCACTGGCAGTTATCTGTCTGGCCTTCCATCCCAAACCTGCTCCTGACCCTTCATGACTGTGTACAGAAGTCATATCCATTGCCAATACAGATCAGCTTTTCCTTTCCTGGGCAGCCCTGTAAAGTAGCTTGGGCATCCTAAGAGTGTCATATCTTACTGGGAGATAAAACAGGATACATCTTTGTATTTCCTGGTCCCAGAAGTTTCAGCTTTTTAAATTCCCTAGGTGAGGAAGTTGGGATGATACAATTTTGGTAGGTAGACTAACTGCATTTAGAACGTGAATTTCCATGATGTCATTTTGTGACACTGTTTTCAGAATTAGAGCTTTTAGGAAGGAAATACCCTTTATGTTGTTTCCCTGACTTACTGTGATGGAAATGTCTCTTGACTGTAATGGGTGTGCCGAAAAACATTGCAACATGTAAATTTCAATGCTATAGCTATTTTAGAATAATAAGTATGACTCCATCTTCTTTTTATTTCTGTCATTTCTTCCAACCAAATTTTATTTTCTTCAAAAAATAACCAACAGTGCTCTCATTTCTGAGTGTGTGTGTGCGTGTGTGTGTGCGTACACATGGAAGATTTGCACAGCCTTGTATGTGGGTTTTGAAAAGAAAATAGTCTAATAGTGTTGAGAAATTTCAACTCACCCTTGTGAAAATGAAAACTGTAGTATTTGACACAGGGCCTAGCATGAAGAAGGAACTCTGTGTTATTACTACTACTTAAAGGACACCAAAAATTTGAAGACAGAGATACTATCATTATTCCCATTTTAAAGCTAGTAAGTGTTAGAGCCATTGTTCAGACCGTATTTTCCAGGTAATCGATCTATTGAACCTACCCCACCACTCAGGGTTTAGAACCAGTGAAATGTGTAAGAAGATGAAGTTAGGTTGCGTACGTAATGTGACTCTATGCTGTAGTCCTGGATAGCAAGAAAGGACGATAATAAAGCAAAGGAAAAAAATTCCTCAATAATGTTTTTCTCAAAGGATCAATATCATTTTAAATTCCAATTGACTTTGAAAGCTTTCTTCTGGGTCTTCTTTGGATAATTAATAGGATGCCTAAGACTTATGGATGTTCCCTTACCTGCAAGTAAAAAATAAACCAAGAACTATTTATTTCACACTCAAGGGCACAAGATTGAAAGATTCATTCTAGGATTCATTTCGTGTGTCCCTGACTTCTGGCAGCAATGTGACTGAGCTATTTCTTGATTGTTATATTAATTCAATACCAAAAATCTGCAAGGAAATACATTATACAACCTCTACTTGCATTAACTCAGTTTTGAGTTTCATAACTCTGGCAATTGGGAAAATGTTCAATTCTCTCAAGAACATAGGCTTCCAATACAGTAGGTATCATTACCTTTATCAAGGCAAAGACAAGTAAAATGCAATGTATTATCCTAGAATAGTGACCTTATTCTCCTTCAAATACTATAGATTCTGCTTAGCATAGAGTATTACGGATGGTAAGCGCCAAATAAATGCTTATTAAATTGAACTGAAAAGCAGTGGGAAAATTCTTGAGTTACCAATGCACATAGCAACTTGAGGCTTCATTGCTGTGTCTTGCTTTCTTGATTCCTGAAGTCACTTAGATTTAGTTTTAAAAATTATATGGAACAAAAAAAATGCCGACTTTTCAATGAAGTTCATTCAATTATTCATTCAGCAAACATTTATTGAACAGCATGTGCTAGGCACTGCCCCAAGTTCTGAATATTTTAAATGTATGCTACTATGTGTAAATAATAGTGTGTAACCATAAGAACCCCAATTGATTCCATGTAAACTGACTAAAAGTTCCTGACCTGAGAGTTTAATGAGCTGTTGCTATAAACCCTTCCCGGAATGTGATCACATTCTCTAATATCACTAATCAAATAATACCAAATCTCTTAATGTTGCCATCAGGTAACCTTCACTTCCCCACTCAAAACCTTAAATTATGATGTTAATTAGTGAGTTGAGAAAGATAATTTCATTGCAAGAAAGAATACATAGACTAGGAATTCAGAAACTAGGCTCTGAAGTGGTGTCACCTCTGTCAAATCACTTAATTCTGCAGAATTAGTTCCCTAACTGTAAAATGAAATGAATTAGAAAAATGTTGGAGCCTCTTTTAAGTCTGATATTCTATAATATGAAATTAATTAAGATCTGATATTTTTAAATTGTAAAGGAAGACATACTCCACATTATGGGTTTTCGCTCAATTCCTATTAATGATGCAGAAATTTCCCTTTCCTGTGCTGTGATATCAAACAGATAATACACACATGTGTACAACGGAGGGGTTGGAAAAGGTTCGAGGGGTGCAGGGAGCTGCCTTGTGCATATTTATGCTATCGCCAAAATTGAGCTTTTAGTTTGCAAGTTAAAAGGTTTCAAACTTCAAGGAGTTTAGTTCGCTGTAGTTGTAATTTAGCTCCTCAGGCTAACGTTGAATACGGAGAAAGGCAGCAAACCATGGGAAGAGAGTCTAAGTTTCAATGGTTGGGGAAACAAATAACGGGAGACTTTCACAATTTAGATAAAAAGAATGTTGCAACGAAAAAAGAACCAGACCGGGGGATGGCGTTGAGGAGTAAGACACCTGCCAAGACTCGTATCAATAGGTGATTTCAGATGCTAGAGGGCCCAAGTTCATGCAGCGGGAAGGACTGGATGAAGATAAAACGGGTCTATTTCGGTTTTCGTGGCTTAGAAATACATTCCGCAGGTAGTGACTTATCCAGACCACCTGACTCACCTAAAAAAAAAAAACCCGCAAATTAATGAATCTAAAATGTTGAGATATTCACGCTCTTTAAAAAAAACAAAAACCTTATGCAAACATCTTTATCAAAAGCATTTTATTGATGCCAAAGATCTGAAATGTCACAGAAGCCATCACACGGGCTTGAGCACCCCTCACTCCCCTACAAGGTGGGTCGGGCCGCCGCTCAACCTCGGGCTCCAGCGTCCCCCAGCATCTCGGTGCCGAGCTCCGCACGGGGTAAGCCCTGAGCTCTCACCAGGCGCGCGCCCGGGACCTGGGGGCGGAGAAGGAGTGGGGGCGGTTCCCTTGGAGCACCCAATCAGCAGCGGGGCCGGCCGGTGGCGCTAGTGACGTAGGCCGCACTTCCCTCCGCCCCACTGCGGGCCGACGCCGGGCGCCGTCCGCCGCGCGAGCTCGAGCGCGCGGGGAGGGGGGAGGAGGAGGGCTTTGGGGGCCGGCCTGCAGTCGGAGGGCGGCGGGTCGCGGGAAGGGGGAGAGTGAGCATGCGCAGCGGCTCCGGGGACGACGGGGGAGGTGGGGACCCGTGCGCGCGCGCACGAGCGGCCCGCCGGCGGCCGCGGGTGGAGGGGGCGGTTCCTCGAGTGTCGGCGGCCGGAGGGTGGGTAGGCTCGCGGCAGGTGCCGCCGCGGCCGCCGCCGCAGACTCCTCCGGGTCTCGGGTCTCTTCGTCCTCCGGCGGTGATGAGCTGGGCCCCGTCGGGGGCTGCACCTGCCGTCTGCCCATCACTCCGGGCCTCCCTGCGTGACCTCGGCCTCCTCGCGTGCCCGGCCCCCGCGGCGCGGGGCTGCCCCTGAGAGGGAGCGACAGCGGCCTCTTCCGCCCCGAGTCCTCGCTCGGGGGCCGCGCGGGGAGAGCGCCCGGCCCCCTCCCCTCCCCCGCCCGGCGTCCTCAATGTCTCCCCGGCGGGGAGGGGGCTGCCTGGGAGACGCGCTGAGCGGCCCCCCCCGGAGGCCCGTCGGCGGCAGCAGCAGCGCCCGGCCCGGCGCCCCGCAGCCTTCCCCGGCGGCGGCGGCGGCGGCCTGGACGAGCCGCGCACCCGCCGCCGCCCCCGGAGCCTCGCAGCCGCCGCCGCCACCCGGCGCCCGAGGAGAGGGCGGCGGGCGACCCCCGGGGAAGATGAAGGCGGAGGGGGGCGACCACTCCATGATCAACCTGTCGGTGCAGCAGGTCCTGAGCCTCTGGGCCCACGGGACGGTGCTGAGGAACCTCACGGGTAATTGATGCGCCCGGGGTGGGGACGGGGATGCGGTGCCGCCCCCTGCCTCCCTTCTCCCTCGCCCCACCCCCGTGCGCGCCCCGCTCTCCGGCTCGCGGCCCCAGGTCCCAGCCAGGAAGGTGTCAACTGGGTGCACTTCGCGCCGGCCCCCGGGGCGCAGCGAGGGTCCCGATCGCGGGCAGAGAACCCCCGACCCCCGCCTGCTGCCCGGCTCGGGGAGGGCTCCCGAAGGCGCTGCCGAGTGTAGTACGCGCCGAATAGCGTTGGTGCCGAGACTCGGGCACAGTTCGCGTGGATTTACCAGCCCCCCTCCACGCGCGCACACACACAGACACACACACCCCGCTTCTTGCTTAGATCGGTTTCTTTTTGAGAAATCTCAGATCGGATGCAGGACTTAAATTCTGTTTCACAGCGATCAGTTTGCTTCACCTGTTAAATTTTTGTTGCTGTAGATGACTAATGAAGTAGGGTATAGTGGGCCAGGGACCGGGCTAAGGTCTAGTGCATTCTAAGCATTTTAGCTTTGACCATATTATCTCCTGCCTCCTGTTTCCTATTTCCTTTTCTCTGTCTGTCTGTCTCCCTCTGGCCTCAAGCTGCCGCTTCTGTGATATTTGATAATTTATTTATTGATTGATTTATTATTTTGTATTTCCCTTCATTCGTCAGGGCTGTCAGGAGGGAATTGGACTTAACTACATTATAATAATTAACCGAGGTTGTAGTTGCAAAAGTGAGCAGTAAAGCTCATATGTTTTTAACGCATCTGTAGGTTTGCTTTGTGAAGAAACTTCCAGGCTTGTTAATGTGGAGATTCTTTATGCCCTGAGTTCTGGATTTTAAAAATACCCCTTAAAGATGAGTGTTTACAAGAAGGAGATTCGGTTGCAAGTTGGTGACTCCTCAGTTTCCTGCTTTCAGAGAAAAAACTTAACATACTCAGGATTTAATTCTTGAAAACGTGTAAGGCTAATTTTGGTAGAACATTAGTATTTTAAAATGCATTACGTCAAACTGGTTAAGAGTGTGAAGAGTATTTTACAAATATAACCTGTCCTGACAGGATACGTACACACGTGTCAACATATTTATTATATCGTATATGTATATTTTTCAGTTATTTGTAGAGAAAAATTTTATGGAATTTTTATACCACAGATTTTCTTGAACACCTGTTTCCTTGACACCGATTTTCTTGAATATGGCAACTGTAAAATTAACATCGATTCTGGATTGATTCATGATGTCCTCACTTTTAATTCATGGTCATTTACCTTGGAGCAAACTGACCTTACATGATGGTAGAGGGTCATGAATACGTTTTTATTTCTAAAAAAAAAAATAAAGTACATTGACATGAAGACCATTTCATGATTCAGTTGAATTTAGAGATAGCTCACGTTAACTTCACTTCTGGTTTTGCTTGTATTTATCCACCGTTCATATTTCAAACGTTGCATTGATAGTGTTTGTAGGAGTGAAGTGAAAAGTAAGAGCTTAAGAATATCTATTTGTATGTGGTTAAGGACTGGCTTAGCTCATCATTTATTTAGAGGAAATTAGTTTGGGGAGCAATAGAGTAGTGTAAATGTAACTTACCACTTGGCCACATTTAACAATATTTTTAAAGTGTTTAATAAGAGTCCAATCATTTTAGTGGCTTCCAGTTCTACAAGTCACCCATTAGGTTGATAATAGCAGTTTCAACCCACGACCAGCTCTCATTATCTCCTAATATAATCTTAATAATCATCATATTTTGCCATTTTAGTTTAAAAACTTTTTTTAAATGTTTTATTTATTTTTGAGAGGGAGAGACAACCGGAGCAGCGGAGGGTCAGAGACAGAGGGAGATAACAGAATCTGAAACAGGCTCCAGGCTCTGAGCTGTCAGCACAGAGCCCGATGTGGGGCTCAAACTCACGAACTGCGAGCCTGAGCCAGAACCAGATGCTCAACCAACTGAGCCACCCAGGCGCCCCCAGACTTTGCCATTTTGTAAAGCATATGCTGAACATCCAAACTGGTTCCTCAGGTTGGACTGAGGAACATGGGGACGTCTTCTGGGTCTAGGAAATAATGCATCTGAATATGCAAAATTCTGTTTGTTGGGATAAAAATGGAGGAAGATAAGATTAGAAGTCTGCGTTGCCAGCAGGTGAGCATACCACATATTAGGAGCCACTTCACTTTGAAAAAAGTGGATTCCGGAAGTGGAAATCTTGTGATGTGCTTCACTGTGGCCTTTTCTTGCTGGTGACCTTAGTGATCCCTTATGTAGCTTGGTCATTAGTCAGGAGATGCTCCCTACAGTGCCATGTAGGATTTGGTCTATTAAAAACAAATATATCTCCTAAAACAAGACAGCCACCACTTAGGGAATGCCTGCTATATAAGTCACTTAACATATATGATTTCTAATCTTAAGAATAACTTTCCGTAGTAGAATAGCAGAGAAGTCCAGAGAAGCCCACGTTAAGTTGCCCCAAATCCTATTGCTAGTAAGTGGCTGAACGAGGCTTTCAACCCCAGTCCTTGTCCACAAAATGACTCTCCTTTTTCACGTGGCCTTTGCTCTTGCTCTTCACTTTTCTTCAGGCAGAATGAGTTACTTGCTTTCCCTGCTAATTCCGCTCCACAAACATGCTTTTGTTATTGTTCAGTTATAATTTTTGTGTCTTCTAGACTGTGAGCTTTGGGGGGTGGGTCATAATCAAGGAATTCTGGCATTTTGACATTATTCTACCTGGCACGTACAGATACTCAATGCATATTTATTTAATTGCATTTCTAAAATAATACTTACAGTTGCATGCTTTAGACATCCTAGTTGCATTATTTTCCAGACACATCTGTGGAGTGACTATGCTGTTACCCAGGGAGTGAGTTGTTGAAGCAACTTTTAGGTAGATGGCCATATCTTTAAACTACACATATGCCCATTAAATGCACTTTCCTGTGCTAGTTACCATGCATTCTTGTATTTCATTTAGTCTTTTCAGTAATCTGGAGTCAGATTATTGTTTATCCTTATTTTATGGACTCAGACATTGAAGCCAAAAGTAGCTTGCTTAACTCTTGATAGCTAATACATGAAAAGTTATTACCTTTTTTCAGATTATGATAACACATTAACTCAGAAGGTATGTTTGTCATCATGATAAACTTGGAAGTGAGACGGCTAATCCAGAAAGAAGCATAGCATAGAACCAGACTGATTTGGATTTAAGAAGTCACTATGTGAAAGACTTAACAGAAATCTGGTTAGTAGGAGCTCTGGTTAATTAAAAAAAAAAACAAAAGGAGAATGTATTCTCATCTCTATTTTTTTTCTTTACACAAACTGATAGGTGTTATTTATTCTTTTCTTTGTATTTTATCCCACAGGCGAAGCAGGGAAGTTTTTATACTGACTTGTATTTTTCTTAGAGACTGACCTCTAGTAAATAGTCTTGTATATGTATTACTTTGTGTAAAAATAAATTTTTAAAAAGTGGTAATAACCAGAAATTAGAACTAGCTTTAGAACTAGAATTTATATAGTTTGACTGCTTCATTTTAGAAGTAGTGACACATCATCATGGAAGTGACATATCTGGGGCAGTTAGTGACAGAGGCAGGCCTCGAGATGATGTTCACTGTCCATTTTACTTGATTCCACATAGATTCTTAACTCAGGCACGTCTGATGATAAATCTTAATATACTTAAGAATCGCCTGGCAGTATTCACCCCGGTGAGCCGAAGAGTGTGAATGCAACTAAGTTTTGGCCAGCAAATAAAAGATACTGGAAAATTGAAGATATAATCGAATAATAATGCTTTCCCCAAATTTGAAGTTGCAATTGCCAGTATAAAAGTTAGTGATCCATATTTATTGCATATCCAGTTTTAGAAATCCTACCAAATTTAGTCTGCTATTTATTATTTTTTTTCTCTCTCCTGAAGACACTGGTATAGAGATTCCCTGTAGAATAGACGACTACCTGGAGACCCCACCTCGTCAGTTAATTACCATTGCCAAAGTTCTTTTCTGCGTCCATCACTTCCCAAACCGTGTAATTCACAGGATTCCAAAGTTGTTAACTGTGTGGAGGTTAGACGCTTCTTCAGCCGACTAAAGTAGAGATAAATGCCTTCTTGTCTTTATAAAATAGTTTTTCTTTTTCTCCATATGATCTAACCTCCCTTGCCCCAATCTCAAATTACAGTCAGTATGCATGTACTCTTTCTCTTTTATGGGTAATTTGACTTAAAAAAAACTACAATGAAATATATCCATTTGCTTTACTTTTATTTTCTTCATCTACTTTGTGTTCTGACCCAAATTTCGTTGCTAAGAGTTTAGAGAAGAATTTTTCGCTTCGAACAAGGCAGGATTCCCTAAACCCATGGGTAAGCACAGAGCCAGGCTGGTATTGGAAGAGGGATGACCGGTCCCTGGGAAGAAGAGGCACAGGCAGGCCTCAGGCTCATCGCTTTCTCTCTGTCAGCTGCAGATGTGGGTGGGTGCCCCCCTCTTTCTGTTGGTACAAACATTGGGAAACTGGGGATTCAAACTGGAAAGAAGGCCGAATGTCTTTGTGTGTGTATAAAATATATATGTGCTTGTTTTTCTGTGATACATATACACTCTTACAGTTCCCTTTTAGACTTTATAGTTGCTAAGCTACCATAGTGTTAATACTGATTGTCAGCAAAAAAGTAAAAAGGGGGGTAGTTTGTATCCACTGTATGTGGTTGGAATGGTTCACACTCACACGGTATAGGCGGCCTTCTCAGGAGGTCTGCATCTTCCAGTGGTGCCCTGTACCCCAGCTTCTCCTTGGGTTAAGTTCTTCCTAAATCCTCTACTCCAGGAGGCTTTTCTGAAATAGAGGTGACAATTTCCTTACCCTTTTGTGGTACAAAGCCAATTAATTAGTGGTGATATGATTGGTGCTTTATAGGATTTTGCTTTTTGGAAATTTTATCTTGTTGAGAAAGAAGCTACTG